CCCCATTAGATGAAGCGCAGGCCACCCACGTTGCATCAGACGGATGCTCTTTATTAGCCGTGCTCCTGTTTTGCCCACGTCTTTGCTTGACTGCTTATTAACGTGAGCTTTCTCTCCCCTCTTTCTCTTCTGCCATCCACTTCCCACGCGCAGCATGGACATGAAACGATGTCCCCTCTGTGAGGTCATCTTCCCACCCAACTATGACCAGAGTAAGTTTGAGGAGCACGTGGAGAGCCACTGGAAAATCTGCCCCATGTGCAGCGAGCAGTTCCCGCTGGACTGCGACCAGAAAGTGTTTGAGAATCACGTGCTTACTCACTTCGACAGCCACCCGCTAAACTTCGACTAGATAAACAGAAAATCAGCACATCCAGTCTGCTTACTTCCTGTCAACCACTCACAACACTTTTCTTTTTTTTTTTTGCATGTAATGGTGTGAAGATCCTCTCTTTAGGACTATACTGAATTTTGCTTCTTTTTTTTTTTTTTTACACTTCACCTTAGAGAAATACTTGGAGCTGATTTAACATTTAAAAATGAAAATGATTCAGTGACATGGCAGGGCTACCAAATTTGTTTTCACACCATTTTCTTTCTTTTAAGGTGGAAGGTTTCATTTAATTTGGATTTTAAGGATACTTTTGGGGGATAAGACTGTTGTACGCATATATATGGACTTTAAACGGACAGATCTGTTAGTCCACACGATGTAATGAATCAGGGAAAGAGATAAGTGTTTACCAAACTTACATTTCAAACATGCAGTCAAATCTGCCCCCTTACACTGTACACGTCATTTAGTCAGTCTTTACAGACAGCAACCTTGGTGCACTATATGCAGTCAGGGAGAACTCTTCAGTGATTATATCCATACATGATTATACAGTATATGCTCAGATCATCTATTTTAGAATAATTAAAGCCAACAATATTGTGACAGCCTTGATAATTTATGTACGACTTTTAGGTTTCCTTTTCTTTGGGTTTGAATTATTTAATTGTGTCTGAATCTTTAAGAACTTTCATATCATCAGCTAATCGCTGCATGCCGAGCTTCTGTTGACCTTCCTCTTGTTCTTTTCTTTTACAGTAATAACTTATTTCATTCATAGAAATGTTTCATTAGTTTAGTGAGTTCCATGTATCTAAAATGAATTAATAAAATCTGTCTAAAACTGAATTGTGTCCAAAGAGTTAATAATGCAAACGTCAGAAGAGCAGAGAAACCTTTATTGTAAAGTAACAAACGTTTACATGAAGCAGCTTCAAGAAGAAATACAGTACGTCACCACCTCTGGTTTTACCGTTTCAGATATACACTTCCATACTTTTTTTTTTTTTTTAAACTTCAGAAATATATGAAAATATAATTTAATGCACTTGACACTAGACAATACATTCACTGTACACTATATCAAAGAGTTGTCTCCATACTGGCAGTTCAGTTTTGCCATGATTCCTATTTGGACTTTAGTTCCTTAACACAAACACCAAGCTGTGAAAATAACCTAGTGGCTCAGATTCGAGAATTTCACGCTCGGTTTTCAATTACTTTAATTATTAAGTCTTTACAAATGGCTAACACATTTTTATGGCACAAACTAAGAGCTGCATGTGTTCCCTCGCAGCCTAAGAGCAGAACTATGAGAATGCAAATGTGCTGAATATACTGACACTAGTTCCTCTTTTCCCATTATCCATGACAGACAGCTAGTTTTGTGAGACCTGAGACCTGTACTATGAAACAGGATTTGGGCTTATCCAGGAAAAATCTGCTAAACCTGGGTTATCAACTCAATAAGGAGGTTCACTTCTTAGCAACGTACATCGCCATGTTGACTTATCACATACACCTAACCTGTATTTGAGATAATAATCCAACAGGTACGAAATTTAACCAATCAGTTCTGTGGAAAATGGCGTTCCCATTCTTGGAAGATTTGAGGTTTTTCTTGATCACGTCAAGAAATGCAATTTCATAGAACGACTTTTCTTATATTCCGGTTATTCTTTTATTAAAGAAACAATATATAATCCTAAAAGGGGAACCCATTTGTACTTTGCATATAGGCTAAGCCTTTTTTTATTTATGGTAAACTATTAGATTGTCCTGTATGTTAAGTATAAAGCTGATACTGATAAGTTTTCCAACTTGCAGGGTCAGCATTCTTGTTAGTTTTCTTTCATAGCTTCAATAAAAGTGCTTTTTCAGTCATTTTCAAAAAAGTACTTAAAGCTCAAACACATCCATACAGCACTGATATACTATAGTGCTTTTTGTTGCTACACATACTCACAGCTGTGCTGCTTTTCAGTTTGTATCATGTCTTTAATTTTAGAAAAATATAAAAAGCTTCCTTTTTAATATCAATCTGTTGCCACAAGACCTGTCCATGTTTCTGATTGGTCAGATGCTACCAACGCCATCCCACAGCTACTAAGCTGAAAGCCACCTCTGCCTGATTACCTTATCTGGGTTCACTTATGGCATAGATATTGTGGGTATGGTGAACCTGCTTCATAACTCAGGCCTCAGGCAGTCAGTGAATAGTAAACAGAGTGGGCTGACTGCCTGTGTTCAGCAGCTTTGAAAATAAAGTTATACAAAGACTTTTTGGAATGGTTTACATTTCAAGGCAACTGCTGTTATTACAGAAATCTTACAATACTGAAAAGATGAAATGATTGATGTACATCTTTCCTTGGAGCAATGTAGAACGTGCAACTCTACACTCACTGTATATACACTAGAAACAAGATGTTGGTAAAAATGCTAATTTATTTGGCAACTTTTATAAAAGTGCTTCAATCCCTTACTGTAAATAAGCATGGAAAACTGCTTACGTCTTCAGGGAAGCTGTCAGGAACATGAGGAACAATGACAGCTTAAATACTATCAGAACACTTGGGCAGGATTATGATGCTGAAATGTTAGCAAAGAAAAAAAAAAATCACCTGAGAACATTCTTTTGGTGCTCACACACATGTTTAAAGTAAAACTTATCAAAAATGTTTTGAATTCTTGTGATATGAAAGGAACAGTAACTACAAAAAGTCCAACAAATGATCAGTAACATTAAGCCTATTAGAGATTGCCAAATAATGCTTTTATGCTGGATTTCATGCTATAAAACATTATATAAAACACTGAATTTGTCTCAGTCACATTTTATCCTAAAAAAAGAAACTGTTTAATGTGACAAATGCATGGTATGATTGCTTCCTTTCTCAACAATTATCCCAATCTTTTCTCTCCTTCCCTTTAAACCAGAATGCCCAGCAGTACATGTAAGGCTACTTGTGACCTGGGCTAACACATGCCTTCACCATCTGTCAAATGATAAATAAATAAATGATAGTTTAAATGTGCAAAATGCAAAAATGTGAACAAAATAAAGATTCAACATTCTGAATAAAAGATATGAAAGAACAATAATATGTTTATACCATGCAATAGTGTGTAGTGTAGTAAAATGCAACGAGAGGGGAAGAAAAGGGGGAGACAGCTGCTGCTGGTGATGGTGGTCTGTTGATGGTTGCTGACATAGCCTGAAGGCAAGTGCTGGTACCTCACTCAGGCTCTACTGCTGCAACTTGCGGATCATGTCAGTAGAGATGGGTGGATGGAAGTTGATTGTGTGGTGGCGGAGACCCTGAGATGTTTTGTAGCTCTTCCCACAACGACACTTAAAGGGTTTGCGCACCCTTATCTGAGTTCGGTGGCCGTTCTTGGCATGATACTTAATTCCGTTTACATTCTGTAATGGAACAAGGAAATGAAAGAGCCACCACTTTAGACACGCACCAACCAAAGACACAACAAAATAACCTTGAAGCTATTGTAATTCAACCAGTCAGAGGACCAGGATTCTCTCTCTGCGAATGGAAGATGTGTAGAGTTAGTTCACATGTGCATTGACTCTCAAGGACTCTGACTCTGGGTTAGTTGATGTATTTTAAAATATTAAAATTAATATTATAGAGTTGTCCTTGTTAGTGGAAAGACTGTTATTTAGTGCAGATATACATATTCCTTTTTTTCCAAAAGGTGATTAGTTTATTTATAGTAGTCTGTGACTTATGGAAGAAACTGGTTGTGTTCTCCCCTGCATAGATTACAAAACCAAAGCAATGCAAAGTGTTTTTACTTGGAAATAATCACATGTTAAGCCAAAACTCTTCACTGACACATTTCTGGTGCATATAAAGCAGATGATTATGCTTATGATCATTTAATAGGAGACGCTCAGAACAGAAAGGGGAGAGCTGGAGGAGGAGAGCTATTGATTTTTAAAATTCTGGTGTGCACTGCTTGGAGAAAATAATATTGACACATAAAACTATACGCATGTGCGTCTGATTAGCCAGTCCAAAAGTATGAGCATAAAAGTATAGTTATATTAGGTTCCAATTGTCAGAATTGTTAGAAGGTCAGATTTCAGAACATCGCTGCAGAAATTAGCTGGCTTGGCTCTAAACCTTTGTTTCCTTTTATCCAAAGGTCTCAAGGCTGAGGAACAGATTGTTTCCCAGAACTGTGGCCTCCATCACAGTCCTTCCTGCCCCGCAAAAATCACAAATTCTGAAAATTATAGGCACCTACAGATATAGTTATATACCCATCTTCATTCTTAGAGACCGGTATTTTAAAATCATGGTCATACCAAAATGAAAAAGGCAAGGGATATTATGATTGATCTAAAATATAGTGTATATAGTGTAGGGTTAGGGTAGGGTAGTCTATAGTGTAGCATTAAAGGAATTCACAGACTTGGGAATATCTATGATATTTACCAGTCAACATCTGAATGTAGGACAAGATGTTTTCTTGTTTCAAATCTATCTTGTTTTACTGCTAAACAGATGCCTAAGGCTGCCTGCTACCTCAGACTAAGTCATCGCCTATAACCCTGTCATTCACGTCAGCAATGCAATTTTCTCAGGCTGCACATAATTTATTCCAACCACACACACCAGATGTGGATGGAAAATGCTATAAAAACTCCACATCTCTGAAGTGGACTAGATGTATGCATTTCTGTTGTTGTAATGCTCAACTAAGAACCAATTTTCCATTGTCAACAGCAGGGAATCGGCTGGATTTATTTTGAAAGTAAATAAAATCACATCTCTCACACTTAATACAATGCAAATATGTCCGGTTTTCATTTGGTCTCTCTGGTCATGATAAAGATATTTCACACCGTTTTATTATGTTTACAACAGGCATCCTAATAAGATTTAAGAGACCACGAATGAAACTTACCTTATATCTCTTTTTACATCCTGGAACTGGGCATGCAAAAGGCTTTTCATCTCCTCCGTTCATGTACATGGAACTGAGGATGGACTCTGAGCTGATGGCGCTTTCTGTGGTCCATGACTCATCACTGTCAGACTCCTCAAACTCTACATCCTCTTCGTCACACTCACTGCCTGTTAGAGGGTGAAAGATTTAAAGTCAAATAGCAAACGCCTGAGGGCATCTTCACCAGGATTATATTACACAAACCTGCTTCCAAGAAGCTTTGTTTTATGCATATTTTCTATGACGATGAAACCCTGGCCTCTGAGCTTTCAGCCCGACCAACGTGGACCCTTCACAGCATGTGTTCAAGGATAGCATTCCCACAATCTTGACTTCATTTGTTGCAAGTTTTTGGAAAGACTGAAATATGCAAATTGTGGGAAAGAATTTAGGCATTTCATTGAGGTCTTAGGTCAACACGCTGCTATTGTTTTATTAATTCATTAAAGATGCCATTCCAGAAAAACGCATACTTCACAAAAAGAAGACAGAAGTACGTGGGAAAACGCTGCAAAAAAAATAAAAGGGGGGTCCTGTTATTTATAAAGCTAAATAAAGAAACCTAATTAGCTGGACTTTAAGGGCTGTCCCTGATTTTTTGCAGCCTTACAGTGAGCTTCTTTATGGATGTCAAGTCAGGCCCAGCAAGCTCCAGAACTTTCTCACTGTCTCCCCCCCCCAAATCTATTATGATGTTTGTCCTTTTAATTTTTAATGGTATTTAAAAAACATGTAATAATTCAATCATATAATTAATCTAAAGAATAGATTATGCATTTATGAGGGCATGGAAAGAAAAGATGAACACAGACACCATGTGGTCACTTTTCATGTCAACACCAGACACATGAAAGATTTTTTTATATAGTGAC